GAAATAGACAAAAATAAGTATGTGATAATGGTGTGTGTGTGTGTGTGTGTGTGTGTGTGTGTGTTAAAATCACCTTGCATTTAATCAGAATCAAAAGGAAAATAAGAGTTTTCAGAAAAGTTGTAGCAAAGTCAAGGAGTAACTTTGTTAAAAGAAACAGCTCCAGGCAGCCTGAGCGTGGCACAGCGCTGAAGATAGCTCACCCTTCCTTCTCCTCCATACGATTTTTGGTGGAGGGTGGAGTACAGCAACATGCGACACAGCCACACCAGCTGGCATCAGGGAGGAGCTGGAGAAAAAGACCACCCAAAAGGGAAAAGGGTGTCACAAAGGAAGAAGACTTCTGCTAGTCACACAGCTGAAACCAGAGGCCAAAGGACAGAGAATGCGGAGAAGCATTTTTCCATCTCTCACACCTTCATACCATAGGGGGGATGTGTTTACTGATTCCTCAGAACTCTCTTAACATCATCTGACTGCAATCACGTTACTACACAAAATTACCACATGGATAACAAATATTGCAGTTTGAAATCAAGCAAGAAGTCCAAAATTAACACATGGAACAAGGCTGTGCGGGTTGCAGAGCCAAATAGCAGCACACCTTTAGTACAGTACCATGACAACTGTACTTTTTAACCCAGCTTTGGTGTCATCTCTTTTGCTTTCTAAGTTACCTGTGATCCCCTACCACTCCCAAGGCTGCAAATACCAGCAGGTGGTACGTGAATATGCAGGAGTGGTACACCACAGGAATTCAGATTTTTATAGGAAAAGAATATTTCACCATTCATTTTAATCTCCATTCTATGTGAAACCACCCAATACGTACTTACTACCCAACTTGTCCCAAATGCCAAACAATCTCCTAATACAAACCCCACAGTGGCAGGTGTGGCAGAGCAGTGCACCTCATCCTCAGAACACCAAGAAAACCCCATACAGTATGTCAGAAATTGTCTCTTTGCTTAAAAAGCTTCACTGCAACACACACACACGAAAGGTTTCACACAAACAGTAAGATTTTGACAAGTTATTGCATCTTAAATTAATAAATACTGACAGGTTCTCAAGAATTAGCAATTCTGACACTGTCTGTAAATGTGCATATATACTTGTACACATCTCCCTGCCCCAACGATTCTAGACCAAATTTGTGTTTGTTTCACAAAGAATTAGGAGACAAGAACTGAGAAGACATGAACAAATCAGAGGATGTGAATAAATTCCCTTCAACTAAATGAAAATCAGATTTTAAAAGACAGGAAAGACAGAAAGAAGCAAAGGGGAAACAATTCAAGGCACATTCTGATAAAATTTCAGGAAAAGTTACTCAATAGAATCATAACTGAACTTTATTATAATAAATAGCTGTATAAAAAGTTTTAGCCAAATTACTTAGATAAACATGTGGAAGTTCCAGACAGAAGTGCTCAAGCCAGGAAGTGCCAGCCCTCACAAGTCTTGTATTAATTTGAAGCAATAAATTTGTACGTTCTGGAATGAAATTTTATTGCAGTATCAGGGTTAACCACATACTTTATGCATTTCTTTCAGAAAGAAGACCAACTTTTTAGAAAGAGAAGAACAAAATACAAGTGATCAAAAGAAATACGACTCTGGTCATATGATTCATGAATGTATATATACGGATGTTACTTTGCATTCATAAAAACCAGACAGATAACATACTATAACATAACTGCATCATTAGCATACTAATCTGATAAGTTTATACTCAAAGGATTGTAGGTTTAGTGCTGGAGGTTAGTATTATCATCCAGTTCTTGGCAGAGTATAAGGACAAAGAGGTCAGTTCCCTTTGACGACTCCTGGAGAGACAGAAAGGCAGACTCGCACTTAGAGCGGCACGTACAGGCTGAGTACAGAACTGGGGCCACAGGATTAAAGGGTTTGGAAAAGGATGTTATAGGAAGGGCATGCTGAAAACATTCCGGAAACCATGATATAGAGACAGTTTAAACTGGATTGGTTACCATTCCTCTATCGTATACTACCAATTCTTCAATTTATTACCCATAAAAGTGCTGAGGCTTTCCAATCTGAGGAGTTTTGGTTTTCAATCTCTGAATGTCTCAGCAGGAGAGTAAATCTTGGCCATTTCTTCAACCTTCCACAGTGTTTGATGAAGAACATATTTAGACAAGAGTAACACTTAGCTGACGATTTACAACGATTTATAGCCTTCTGTGTAAAGCAGCATGTTCTACCTTAATTCAGCATGAGCTAATTTACAAATATGAAAAGCTTAAAAAACATATCCAGCTTGTGTCCTTACTCACAGAAGGCCTGGCTTAAAAGGCTAAGGGTAGTACATGAGTGTGACCCTGTTATGGATAAAGGCTATCTGATATGAAGAAAGTTTTCAAAACCAGTTTCTGTACAATATAAAAATTAACCAGTAAAATCCTAGTAAGGCAAGAATATAATTTCTGCTTATGATTCTAAAGCACATTGTAAAAAAGTTACAGTGGCAACCACTTACAGCTTCTCATTTTTGTACATTTAATATATTCACTGCAACAATTATAAGTCACATTTGTATTTATAATACATATCACAACTATATGCAGAGATATTTTTCTTTCTTAGTGCCATTCTTCATGACATTAAATCATTCCCATCCTGTAATGCTCAGTGACATACCAGTTCAAGGCTCAATATTACATTCACTGGAATTAGTGAAAATGGTTTTTCAGATATAGTTAGTCTGACAGTCGCAAGAACCTAATGTTTTCCTAGCCAATTAAAAAGGAACTACTTACATAAGGATGCTTACAAAGCCAAGCATTCTTGGAGTAAGTTATTTAAAGAGAGTTCCTTGAAAAAAATTATAGCTAACCAGTCTGATACAAGGACGAATTTCATATTTCCTTTTATAAAGCAAGCTAGCTATGTGAAGCCTGATAAATGGAAAAGTGCTTGGAAGGCAGAGGATAGAAAGAACTGTAACAAATTATCATAAATCATGTTAAAAGCAGTTTGTAGGGAGGGGAAAAAAACACTAATTTACAAACATTTAAATGCCTTTATAGAAATATATCTATTTTAGGGAAAATGGAAGTGGTAGCATAGGAAGAAAAAACCCCGACCACTGAATTAGTTTTAGGCACTTGAGCTGCATAGACGGTAGAAGGTGCCTATCAGATATGTTTAACATTCACACTGCTACACCTAAGAACATACTATATAATGCATAGGAAAACAGGTATTAAGCCACCTGGAAAAAAAATAAAAATGAAGCCATGTAGATCCCTGTTCACATTTTCCAAGCTCTATATTCTGCTTTTCCTCACAATTTAAAACCTACATAATTTGCAGGTCACAGAGGCAGCATATCATAGAGATTATTTACCAAGCTTATTACCTGCTAAACCAAAATAAACATTTTAAGGATTAAGTTGTTGAAATATGACTTAATGGCAAAAAAAAAAGGCAGTAAAATGGCATTCTGCAGCGTAAACTTAACTAAGCACTTTTAAAGACCCTTCCCTTTTTCTTTAGAATATCCTAAGAATGAACTTCATGAAGAACAAAGGCAAACTAAGGTTAAGCTTTAGCTGAAAGCAAAGGCAACACAACACACAGAGGGTGGAAATACAAAAGCAATACAAATCAAGGTCATGACTCATGGTAAAACAATCACTTCCAAACAATAACGAGTGAAGCTGAAAGCAGCACTGAGGCAAAGTTAACTTGCTTTTCTATGGACACAACTATGAGAAAAATGCAAAAGGTCCTACAGGAAGAAAAAAAGAGATGTAAACAAAAAGCACATGTGAAAAGGGGTTCTGGGTTCAGAAGTTTGCTGGCTCTTCTCCAGCTCCACTAGGGGACTAAATTTAAAAGCATTTCTAGCTTTACACAAAAGGCAAGGTGTGTAGGAAAGGACCATCACAGCACAATGCTACCTGAGGGTAGCTACTTGTATATTCTTCTAAGGTTCATCTTGTCAGTATCTGAACGTACACTTGTTCGCATGAAGAACCTCCAGGCAGGTGAACTTTCCTACAAAAGCTTCCACTGCAATGCCTGGATGATACTATACCACTTTCACTCTGCTTTGCTCTCTTTAAAACACACAATCACACCAACCACACAAAGTGAGGATTTTGAATCCCTCTAGAGACTGCAAATCCAGCATTTAAAATGAAGGGGCATCTTCCTTCAATTCCTAAACCCCTGTCAAGAATGCTATAAGGCAGGCGATGCATCAGCAGGTACCAGCCACCACTTAATTCTAACTCCTGAAGAGCACATATCCACTCTAAGATACTAGGGGATCACAAAACAATAAAGAACTCATCATTGTATGTGCTTTTCTGTAGTTGCGTTAAGGCTGAATTGTTCACTATCCAACACACAATTTAATTTTTGGATTATAAACTCTTCAGGGCACAAAAGTCATTGTTTTAAACAGGTGGTCTTAATGCGTGCAGTTATTCCCAACTCTGCTAAGGTCTGGGAAACAAAGATGAAGTGAACCATGCAATATCTTAGACGTTACAGAAAGAGAAAGTGGAAGTGGCCAGGTTACCCAGAGGGAAAAAAAGTCAATGTAAGTCTGCCTATGTGTAAACAAAATGTCTGGTTGCAACATAAGCCATACCTTTGAAAAAACACCATACTTTCACTACATGGACATATTAAGACCTACAAATTTAAGCGAGGGAGTAAACAGCAGAATACTGCCTCATGATTTTTCTTCCAGTAACTCATTTTCTTAAAAACAAAAACTCAATGCACACAACCTGTGTAGACTGGATGCAGACCGGATGGGGCTTTGAGCAACCTGGTCTAGTGAAACGTGTCCCTGTCCATGGAAGGGGAGCTGGAACTAGATGGTCTTTAAGGCCCCTTCCAACCCAAAGCATGCTGTGATTCTATGATTCAGACAGAAGTATGCAGTATTTAACACTACTAAAGCAAAGTATTTTAAAGGGATGAAACAGAAGACATAAGACTCAAAAAACAAACACTTAGGTTTATAAGCAAGTCTGCTTTTTCTTTTTTAAGACTAGAAAATGTACAATTCCATTTCATTTGCAAGTGTGCACAGAGCTCATTTCTTGAAGATACTATATCAGATAAACTGAGAAAGTCTTTGCATTGTTGTTTCTTCAAACATTTATACATTTTGCAATACACCAGTTAAATAATACCAATATCTATGTGCATGCACTATAAATATATGCATGTACACATTAAAATGTTTGCCAAAGACAGCAGATTCCCTAGCCAATGAGCATCATAAAGAGATAAATATATTAAAAAGTTAAGTTCTTTACCTGCCTTTGTTAAACAGAAACTTTTGAAATGTCCTCCCTTCTTTTCCCCACAGATACCCCACATGACCTGCAGTGAAGGAGGCAAATGAGAAGGCAGGTGCACTGACTGTATTATCCCGTAACCAAACATAAGCACCTTAAAAAGTTCAAACTAAGCTTTTTCTTTAAAATGTCTTTTTCATCCTTATCAGATGTGTGAGCAAAGGGAAGGACATTTTAAACAAAGTTTTATTTCATTTTGCTACATTCCCCAAACATCCATCTCCAACATAAAAAAGCCTATGGCTAAGGCTATGTGCACCTTCACAATACTGATAACATTTCAAACCATCCAACTCCCATCCCACTGAAAAGCCTGTATCCTTTAAAAAAGGAATTCTAAACAACTTCATATGGACATCATCCCATCAGGTACTACAGGAAGAAAAGATAACCACATAGTGCTCCGATGCTTCTTTGTAACTCACCTGGGGACCACACAAGAAAGTTTTATTTTCAAGAAGTACTGCCCTGGAACTTCTGTGGGAACACAATGAATGGGTCACTTACAGCTTTCCAAGTAGTGTCATCTGTTTTGTTCCCCATCCCAGTTCCATCCATTGCATATAGATAGGTATATAGATTTTATGCTATAAAAGCATGCCTTCCTCAGAAAAATACTTAATACAGAATGTGACTTGGTTTATAAGATTCCAGTGGTACTTTTAAACATACTTTTGTGCCTCTTCTTTGGTTAAGAAAAAAAAAAAGATGATATTTTTCCCTTTATGACAGCTAAAGGTACTCCTACTAGACTTGAACCATAAATGACCAGCACTGCAAAAAAAGAGCAGCAGTACCATAGGACAGCAATAGGACAGCATGACATGCACTTCTTGGAATCACCAAATCCAATTATGACTACCATAGGAAAAAAAAAGAAAAAGAAAAACCCCATTTCATTTTAAACTCTTTGGCAAATGCTCACTGTTTGCCGACACTGTAACTCGCAGCTCAGAGTCTATATGCCCCAATCCATTACAGCAGCCTCCCTAACTGAAAAATGAGCAATGGTCTTAAGAGAAAGTTTTCTTTATAAAGTTGTGGTGAGCCAACTGCCTGATGGATGCTACAGCCATACAGATAACAAAGGAAAAGAACTTGTGACATGTTGGCAATGTCAAATATTAGTATTACTGTCAACATACTGATTCAGCTTTACACACTGGTCTGAACAGATTGCAATTAACCTAAAATTGAGGTATAAATATACACAAATATGTACAGTACACATACAGGAAAATATTTTGCATTTGTAACATCAGTAACCTTAAAAATACTGGAAAGTTGATATCTATGCCATTGATTTGCTTGCTAATTTACTGGAATAATGAAGCCAACATCTTCAACTCGAGAGGACTACAATGGAATAATAAAACTCAAAATTAAAAGCTCCTTCCTCTCACTTCATCTTTGCCATGCTCAACATTGGACTATTCCAAGTGGCTGTATCTTGCAAAGAAGCTTGATCAGAGCTTTTAACGCATCTTCAGAGGAAAACAAACCAGAAATCAAACAGGAGCGATAACCGCATCTTTCTTTTGCTGAATGGTCTTAATTTATATACAGGTATGTGTGTGTGCATCTATGTAGAAAATAAAGTTGAAGTCAGTTCAGTATAAATACATCTAACCCATTAATTCTGCCACTGTGAAGGTAATCCTGGGTACAGCTCTTTTTAAGCAAAGTCTGTGCAAAGAGGTCATTAAAAATCATCTGATCTTAAGTCTCGACATCATCCATTCAAGTCCTTGGCACAGTCTGCAAACAAAAGAGAGAATTTTTAGGGAATACATACATTTCTTGGACTAACTTCAAAGATTAAGTCCACAGCACCAACTTAAATTCTTCCCAAGAACTCTGTAATTTTCACTGAGAAAATAGTTTTCAGAAACAATCTACTGAGTGCAGCATTTCCTAGATTTTACTATACAATCTATGCTTGTGAGACTTCAGATCCCAGCACTTCAAGACATACACTGACGTGATCTCTAATTGTGGTTACTCTTAATACACCTGAACAGATTATAGGTCATTCCCATCCCCACCATCATTAGAACCAAATTATGAAAAATTTATCACTGTGAGACAGACTGTGGATTTGATGTGAAAGTTGGTTTTCAGATCATGCTGATCCTAAGTCAGTATGTTCTGAGCTCAGAAAAAAAATCCAAGATTACTATGTAAGATTATTAATGACAGGGGAGGAATGTGTGTTAAAACAAAACACCACAATAAAAATACAAAATGATTCAAGATTCTCCTCCTATAGACAAGAATACCTCTTACCCCTCTCCAGTTAGAGCACAGCATGCCTGAATGTGCCACTGGTGATCCTTAATTGAAGTCAATTTCAGAAACTGAGATATTTCAGCTACTGTCATACACTCTTTGACATCCTGCTTGTTAGCAAAGATCAGCAAACCTGCTTTTTTTAAGTCCTATGGAGAAAGAAAAAAAAAATATTACCAATCAGCTCTCTCTTAAAATTACCAATTTTGCCTCTCTCAGGAGGCAAAAGATGTGATACCAAAGTTGAGGACCTTAAGCCCTAGCAAAAAAACCCTAAACTATAAAATGCTGCACGCTGAGTGACACGTAACTTCAGAAAATCCTTTGACCAAGGATCGGACCAACGTCCAATTTGGTCCAGGGTGATCAGAGGCATGCTGTATCGCTGTATGCATGCAGCTGCACTAATGCCACACACCAGTCAAAGCCTCCCATTTAACCCTGACCTTGCACGTCATTCCTGCCTATGTATCTATCCCAAGCACTGCACTCTCCTGAGCCTGGCTTTTATGTACATACCACACTTTCATGTATTACCATACTGTTATGATTGGGTTTAGTACCAAAATACTAGACTGTGCAGCAGCATGGGGCAAGAGTAGGTTACCACAGCAGAACTTTTTAAGCACTGGTAAAACCTTGCCCACTGGTTAATCCCACTCATTAAGAAGCATTAAGACTGCCTCTGACAGAGTAAAGCAAGATGCAGTAATATTTTATTTAAAGGAAACACAGTATTTGTAGAAAATCATCGCTTACACTGCTTTAGAATCAAAGGATAGACATCTACATGAACAAGTGCACTACAAAAAACTTCTCTATAAAGCATATGTAATATTTAAAACATCAGTATGAACAATTTAGAGAACTGTGACTGCATGGGCAAGCTTATCTAATCTCAAGATGCTTGGAATTACACTGGTACAGCCATGTGTTACTGAAAATCTGTCCCTCTGAAAGTAGAAAGGTCTTCCAGAAAGCCAAGTCAAGTCATTCACTTAAATGCCTATCAGGCACACTCATTTTTACAACCAGTAGAATTCCCAAACAATCTACTGGTCCAGAAAATAGTAGGAACTGACCCAGGCAACTCAATTTTGCCTTAACAGAAATTCAGATGAACTGGTTAGCAGAAATAAAAGCTTTCCAAGGACTGAAAGGAAAAGCTATTCTAAATAAATATTTGACTTTCATCTCAGCTTATATGCATTGTTGTTCTCTTCAAATGTCAGAGCATCTGGAGAGTTAGCAGAATATACTTGAAAACATCCTGTTGTAAAACAATGGGCACATTTATTGTTTGTTAGATGAGTGCTTTTGGAGCACAGAAATAGACTCCCAACATGAAGTAAGGGCATTTATGCTGCTTAGAGTTTGACTTCTCATTTCAAATTCAGTTAATTAAAAACTTCTGCATTTTCTTATACAGATTATGAAACAGAAGATGCGGATTTTGTTTAGCAACTGCAGATTGAAGAGTACATCTCAAGTTCTAATTCTGACAGCAGCAGACCCAATGGCAACGTTCTCCTCAAGCTACATTTAACACTCCAACACAACCAAGAAAGCCACACCTACTTTATTAGAATTATATTAAACACAGTTTTAATTTAAACACCAAAAATCAGAAATTCCAGACACTAGGGAAAGCACTTATTTCTTCTCTTTAGATTACCATAATCACTCAGAAGAAATACATGGACAGTCTTTGCCCTTCCTGAAGTCTACTAAACAGTGGCTATATTTTAAATATAGATGTACTATTTTGGTATATGATGCCATCAATTTATGCACATCTTTGTATTCTGACACTTGAATTTGGAAGCTCAGTGTCCTCCATGTTATCCCATACAAACTGATCCAGTTTGCACTAAACTTGTCTCAGCAACAGTCAAGCTTATATAAACATCTTCAGCAAAAAATCAGGGCTCCAGTCCTGCTGCACTGCACAGACTGAAGTCGTCAGGACACCCAGGTCACACAATAGGTACTCCTTGGTTTATACACATTAGTCCAGTATTTATGAATCAGACTCTGACAGCTCAGTTTTAGACATGACACAGGGCTCAATTTTAAAGAGGCTCTTTATCAGATAGCAAATTATACTCTAAAATTCTGTAATTCCAAATACACATAGAATGATGGCTACAGTAGCCATAAGGCAGGCCATTTCTTCAGTTTTATAGCTGGTTGCTAAAAGAGGTATTATTAAGACTGTACCTGCTCCACTGTGAAACCAGAAAACACTAAGCAACCATCAAATTATCAAAAATAGTAAATAAATTGCTGGAGGCAATAATGGGGTTTCTTAAACTATCTCATTCAGATAGTAACGCAGGTTGAAGTATAAAAAACACAAAGGTCATTTATGGGTCCTAACTTCTGTTTCAGAAGCACTCAGGAATTGAAAAGCTACTTTTGTGGGAGCTCTTTTCAGTAATTTGGAATTAATTTACAGCTTTACTGGGAGCTTGACAAGAGACAAGCAGGAAGACAACAGCTCTGATCCTTCCTCTATCAGGAAGAGGACAGCTCTGATCCTGCACTACCCACAGCTGGAAGACCTTACCCACAATAAACATTAAACAAAAAAACCACAAAGTCTACTCACCTCATGTGCTAACATTTTATACAGTTCTTCTTTAGTCACAGAAATTCTCTCTCTGTCTGTGCTGTCCACAACAACTATCACAAACTTTAAAAAGTGAGAAGTTATTAGTAAAAGAACAGACTCTATCATTCTGGCCACACATTTGTCAGCAGAACAGATTAATGTTCCTAACCCACTGTCCAGACAGTCAGATATCATCAGGACCATCACATATCATCCTATATCAGATACGCTTCTTCCAGCACTGGCATAGTTTACAACTTATGCCACAGTTTGTATACAAATGTAGCTCTGACACATATTTTGACTTTCCATTTTTCATTTCCGAATGAAAAATTTACACCAAAAGCAAAAGTTTCTCTGTAATCCAAGAGTTCTTTGCTTAGCATAACTGAGGTAGCATCTCAGATCCCTCAAATAATTTGCTGTAGCCTTTAAAATGTAATCTCTACCAGCTTTCTCTCTCTACTTCAAACACTAACATGCAAATAGACATTTATTTATAAAACCCCAATAAGCTCCATACTTCAAGAGCATACATGCACATACATGTCACACATCTGTTATAGATAAGCACAGGAAAAATTGATTACTATTAAAAAAAAGATTAAAACCCCACATTTGATAACACACAGAAAACCTTGACTGAAATCATTACTTTAATCAAGTATGTATGCTGCAACTTCATCGCTAAAGAGTTCTGAAAGTTCTTGGGAGCACTTAAGTAAACTGATTATGGAAGTTTTCACAACAGAACTCAGTCTTGGAAGAAAACTTTTAGGCTTTCAGTCTTACTCCTGAGGGGTTAGATGGGCTTTAGAGTACCTGCTACAGAAACAGAGGAGTCCCCACACAAGAAGAGACCTGCAACCATAGGGATCTGCAATACTAAGACAAACTGAGCACCTGTCCTAAGGCCACAGATGCCCAGACACAGAATTCTTGCAGACAAATTGGTTTTCATTGCAAATCCGTATTATGCATTTTATGCAAGAAATATAAAAGCAAGTCATACAACAGCTTGCTAAGGAGGAGACTTAGCAGGACATCAAAACATGAGGTGCCCTGAGGCAGGTACAGTAACATTCACTGCACAGTCGTAACAGCCCTCTGGAAGTGTTTCTGGTACCCATTTCGGGTACTGAGCCCTCCCTCCACCAGCAGTGGTGACACTAAGTCTTCTAGTAAGCTGCTCATTCTTACCTCAGTGTTTGTATAGTAGGTGTTCCATGAAGACCGAAGAGACTCCTGCCCTCCGATATCCCACATCAGAAAGCGTGTGTTGTTAACCACTATCTCTTCCACGTTACTCCCTATAGTGGGTGAGGTATGCACCACTTCATTCATGGAGCTGCAGAGAGAAAAGTGCAAGTTGGTGAGAAACTGTGAGAACTGGGAAGTTACCTGCCTTATCAAGTAACTCAGGACTCCAAATCAACCTGCTTCTATAAACAATAAACTTGATGGTTATTTCAAGGTAGAAAACTTCATGGGAAAGCGACAGAAAACACTTCTTATGCAGCAAACAGGACAAGGTATAATGGTGAAAGGCAAATAAAAATCAGTAGCAATAAAAAGGACTCAGTGAACTATATAATAATCAATTACAGAGCTGAGAAAGCATTCACAAACATAATTATAATTAATTAGATCATAAGGCTAAGAAAATATTTGCTTCAGAAGCTGTTTTAGGCAGTCAGCTTTTCTTTTTCCAGGCTGATTTTGGCACGCATGGGAGAGAGCAGTTGTTTTGCTTCAAGAGTGCGGTTGAGCCACAAGATTTCCAAGGTTGCAGAAAAACAACTCATCATCCAGCTTCATCAAACACACTACATCTTGCTTTCCTTCCAGTGTAAGCCACTAAGAGCATACTTCTTTCACAATTCAGTTGCTTTATGTCCAAACTTCCTTCTCTTCTCCCTTCAATGCAGTTCAATAACACTACTTCTGGAAACAAATGCAGACATTATATATTTCAAATATATTGTTTTAGAGATACTAAGTGCAACTTTGTCATTAAGACCACCAGTTTCATATCAATAGTAATAAACAAATGTGTACTCTGGGCACTCCTAAAGTTCAAATTACTTAAATGTAAAAAACATAAAAGTACCTTCAAGGAAAACATCAACTATTTTCAAAGAACTTCATTATTTGTTCCTCTGATAATCCAGATATATTTTTTCATTTTATATGACCATGTCTTTGAAGCTTTAGCAAAGATTTCTGTTACAGTGACAGCAATTTGAGACTTGTAACGGTAATGGAATATTTCTTCAAAACAGAGAACCAAGGAGTGAAACGATTGTCCAGTGTTCTGAAAAGGAATCTCAGTTACCCAGTGCCTTAGCAAGGGTCATCTTATTAAAAATAACAAGAAACTCTCTCACCACACACATTTGAAGCAACTATACAAAAGAAAGAGAAGAACAAACTATAGGATAAAAATGGTACAAGATGATAACTGTAGCTGATTTCATATGTTAAAAAAAGAACAACAACAAAAAAAAGTAAACCCCAAAACCAAACAAAAAAATCCCAGGTTTTGGCAGAATTCTTTTAATGCTTGGAAGAGGTGTGACATTAACCCCCTTTCCTTGTCTGAACCTTCAGCCTTTCTCATTCAACTTGTTGGCATCTTGCAGGGTGCAATATGATAGGCGGATTTTTCCCCCTCTTCCCATTGAAACAAGGTGAACTTGAAGCTTAATGGCGTCTGTTGACACCTGATCACAAAAACCTCCTGCTACCTGAGAGAAAGGAGGAGATCCAAGTACAAGAATGGGAAGAAATTGAGTGTCTGTGAAGCTGCCATAATCTGTTAGAAGAATCACCACTCCAACATCTGCTGTGACCCTCCACATCATCCAAGGAACGGCCAGTGCACTAACCTACACTAGTTATCCTACTAGTTGTCTTGGTCCATCTCTCACTAAAAGTGTTAAACATATTCATTCATGCTCAGAACACCTATTTACCATGAAGAAAGGGTAAGAAAAAATAATGGGACATGCAAAGATAGAGGTAGGGTTTCAGGAGGAGTCAAGCAGCAGGAACAGAGGACAGTACTCATACAGAGCTCTGTCAAAGCAGCAAATGGGAAGAGGAATACAAGAAGAGAAGGGGAAGTCCTGTGGAGCTAAAACAGACATAAGGGAAAAGAAGGCATATAGAGATCCACTGTACAAAAGGGAAAATAAAAACACTGAGACTGCAGAAATAAGTAGCTGAGAAGAATCATAAGACATTTGTGGAGGAAGTGGAAAGACACAGGCAGCATCAAAGTGCACCAAGGATGGCCCTCAACTGAAGCAGTTACTAGTCTTAAAAAATATTCTTCATTCTATGTACGCTTCTTAAAATCACTCACTCATGATTTAAATAACTACAACCAACTTCATCTTTTCACTTTCTCTGCAGAGTGTGCTAGGTTATACATGGCTGGAAATACTGCATGAGCTTCATGTTTCAGCAAACCATAATTTGTCAAAACATTTTAAGTAAGCATATTTTTAAGCATAGGATTGGACCAGTATGCCCATAACACTTAAGAGGAATTATTTCTGATACTGACTCAGAAACACTTCTTAATACCAGACTACTTCATGCGAGAAATCACAAATCTGTTTCTAATATAAACAGATCTTGAGCCGCCTGTCGAACCTAGAAGCTTCTGAGTCTGTGGACAAATTTGTTCCCTTTTATCAAAATGCAGTTGAGGACCAGAGATAATGAAGCTCATACAAATTTCACATAAACCAGTAGCAAAGTTAATGCAAGACAAACACAAGTCAGTGCCATTACTAAAGGCAGAAGCTGCACGACAGCATGGGCTGCCACCAGTCATGGAGCTGTGTTGTCCTAGCTTCAGCCAGTGGTCAGCCCTCCTCCTTCCCCCTGTACCACACATGACATCAAAGTACATCTTGGCACAGAGGACACAAGTCGTGGCAGGGAGAAGTTAGGCTTCCCTGGTTTTGCTACTTACTCACAGAACAATTTGTTGAGTATTTACATGCTATGGCATGGATCAGTTTAGCAGCATGTCTTCCTCCATATAATCATATTTTATGGAGCTGGCAAACATCCTACACTGTGACAACAAAGGCAGCTGTGATTAAGTGATAATAGCAATGTAATGTGATAAACAAAAGCTTTGAACAAAACCTTATTCATATACCAGACAAACTACAGACCTTTACAAACTCTAGAACACATGCTCTGATCCACTACCTCCTATAAGTGTTCAGCAATCTTCATTGTGATGCTCTCAAAGTAAACCTTACAAGGAAAGTGGTGAACACAAGCCAAGAGTAATATATACAATGCACACCTTTAAATACATGACATCATCAGCAGTTCATACTTACAATTGATAAAGAATGGTCGTTTTTCCTGCATTATCCAGACCAACAATGATTACTTTGTGCTCTGAAATAAAAACATCACCAGTAAGTCACATAGTTAACTTTGCTATCACAATAACAACTATGCAGTGAAGCAAAGTTAGTGTTGCATTTGAGACCAATTTCCTAAGCAAACACTGCCAAACTTCAGGTGCCACATTTCACAGGCCATACGTAAACGTTTATTTGTGGAGGTGTACAAACCCATGTATTGTTCCGAGCAGGTAAGTGACTGTCAATTTTTCCCCATCTGAGTATCAACAGGAACAATTTCTGAGCAATTACATGTGGATTTTTTTCCTCCTCTAACATGCTAGGGCAATCTCACTTTAGAATCCTTTCACAATCTTCTACACATTTGTGCAGACTCTTGCAGACTGCACTCCCCCAACCACAGCAGCTCTTCAGAACACATCCTTACCAGGACAACATGTTAAATGTTAAATTTCATGTTAAAATTGTAACATATTAAATGTAAAATGTAACATGTTAAATGTTCATTTCCAAGTCTAGACCCTTATTACTGCCTGCAACATCTTAATCTCTTTGAAAAGAGTTGCTTAAAAGCACAGCAACACCGATTTACACTGCAAGCAGAATGATCCACCTATCTCCCTTAGTGTCCTCTTCTAGCAGGTTTGGAAACTGGAGAACAGATCTGCCCACAAATACTATACAGTATGCATTCACACAATTTAGTTTTAGATGAACCAAAAAGTGTAACACAAAACTACTCTGACTTCTGCAGATGCAGTTTGGAGCTCAATGCCAGAATCAATCACTGCTTCTATTTAGCACCTTCTTTCCTATACATCACAAAATTAAATTTGGTTTTTACAGCTGGGTGTTGTCAAGCACGAATTTATGATATCCAGGATAAGTGAGCGCTGCCAGCCCTCAGCTGTATTACACAACCTTTACTTGCACAAATAACCTTGGTTTCAACTGGACTGCTCATGCAAGGAAAAGTTTTGTGAGAAGGTGTTTTTTTTTCGTACCTCCCCAGTGGTCCACAAGGGCAACAAAAACTCATTACAAATGTGCCCAAGCTTTGGGCAAACAAGGAAGAATTCCTTCTGTTAGCAAAGTACACTCACACTGACTCATCACAGAGGGACAGGATAGGGGTCAGGTAAGTGGGGTTTTCTCAGTTTTTATCAATATTGTGTGGTTTTGCAGAGTTGTCTTATATACCATCAGTAAAAATTCCAATTTTAATAACTTTGCATAACTGCACAATATTGTAAAAATATCTGCTTACCTGACCCCACATAACTAGGAACTTTTGTTTCTGGTGTGATGTTGCCAGCATAGTGGACGTTAGGAAATCAGTGGAAAAGAAGATCTGAGGTGGGGCTGGATGCTACAAGACAAAAATACTGTTCTGTATTTGCACTGAGTGTCAACGGGCACGTAACTGGGACATTCAACATTCATGTGCAGAGCATTTAAATTCACTCATAAACAAATTCAAAAGACCTTATCAACAGCAGTAAAAGCATCAGCGTGTGTTCTATAGTTAGTTACAACTCTCATTAAAACCTAACTGTAAGGAGACAAGCATTACAAATCTGAAGTTATAAATAACATTTACTCCATAAATGAGCAATTTTGCCAGCTATCGAGGTGTATAACTTAAAAGTGTTAGTAAAGCATACTCTGCAGACGACAAGATGAAACTACACACTACAATGCAACACAGCTGTATTCTTTTCGGCTCATATTAATAATTTAACGTCCAGCTTTCAGGAAATGAGCTTTGCATTGACTTAGAGAGGACAGAAAGGTTAAACCCCCCAACTTCTCTGGCTTCATCTCTCCTGCCAGCCACCCTGACCAGTGCTGGGGAAACGCCGCCAGCTCGCCCTTTAGCCTCGGTACCCAAAGCTGTGCCAGTTTACCGAGGCGGGCTCCCTGCACCCCCTATTCCTCACCGCGGCCCCTCGACCCCTCCCGCAGCCCCACAGCGGGTGCACAGGCAGCGGGGATCCGCCGCGAGCGGGCCCGGCCCGGCACCTGCGCGCCCCGACACGTTCGCGGGCCGCAGCCTCGCCCTCACCCTGATGGTTGAACAGCCTCCAGATCCTGGTGAAGAGGATCCCCATCCTCAGCCGGGGCAGCTCCGGGCCTCGCCGGCTCCTCAGCACCTACCGCGGGCTCACCCCGCTCCCGGGCCAAGGGCGGCTCAGGGCCCGGCCCAGAGCCCGGTTTGCCGGCGGAAAGGCGGGCTAGGGCCTCGCCGGGCCTGCTCACTCTCGGACATCGCCGCCGCGCCGCTCCTCTCGCCTCACCGCCTGTCCGGGCCGGCCGCGGAGCGGTGCGAGCGACGCGACACGACGCGCTGCCACGAACGACCCCGCGGCCACCGTAGGGACGGGGGAGGCGGGGGCGGGCGCGTCGCTGCGACGCGACGTAGCGGGGGCGGAGCAACCGCGGAGCCCGCCATTACGCGTCTCCGCTTTAGCGGTGTGTAGTGAGGGCTGTGGTGCGTGTGAAGGAGTAGGCGCTCAGTAGCTGAGGGAACGCAGAGTTCGCATTGGTACTTGCGGTCGTTCAAAGCATCCGGCCCACCGCAAAGATAAATCCCTGTGCCCAGACCTGCCGCAGCGTTTAAAGCCGCAGGGATGGTGGTGCATTTGGTTGTGCTGGGGTTTACAGTTGGTCATCTTAACGGGCTTTTCCAACCTAATCGATTTTATGATTATTTTTCTAACCCTTTAATAAATAGGTTTTTAGTGCCCGCACGTGGTATGCTAGAGACAAGACATGGGGTGATGGCCGCAGTTTTATTTTATCCTTGACCAAACCAGTGCTCTAACAGAAGCACCATGGTGTTACCCTTATGTGTAAAGCTGCCCTGTAGCCCATGCATTTCAGCCCCAAGGCCTTCATTAGCTGCTGCACAAACAGTTTTACATGTGTCAGTCATGTTTGTCTTGTGACACCAGTGATGGTGTGAATTTGGGCAACAGGTATTTCTAGCACTAGTATTCATACTCCAGGGAGCCAGGGGTAGGTTGCACAGCTGTTAGGCACATATTCATTTTAAACAACACTGGTGGGCATGGTAAGGAAAAGCGAAGCCTGCACTTCTATGAAAGAGCAAACACAACTTTGGGAGATAATGCGGAAGAGCAAAACTGGTGGAAAGCCTGTTTTTATATTCAAAAGGCATGTTCTCTGAAGATTAGGGTTTGGAGGCTTTGCTTACCACCACAGCAATCACATGCAGTTCTTTGTTGGTAGCCAGGTGGTAACTGGGCTAGCCTTGGAGTTGTGCTCTGTCCCTAGCTGGGATGGAGAAGCCTCCATCTCAACATGGGGAAGCTTATTTTGGGATGGGATGTCTTACCTGGGACAGGGAAGCTCCTTGCCTAAAGTCCTCTGGGCATGCTTGTGTTCCTCATAACAATGAGTGTTCCATAACATAACTTTCTGTCATTGCTAGTACATGTTGATGGCTTTGCTTTTCATTATGTACTGCCCTCTCACCTGCACCATAGCCTCCCTTTTCCTGTCCACAGAGGCGCTTACCACTGGCTCTGTTTTTCCCCCTGCTCCTTTGCAAGCTGACACACTTCTGCCCTCAGTTCTATCTCCACCTTCCTTACTGGCTGCCTGGTATGCTGCTTTCACCTTCTCACATGGCTTCTGCCCCACCTCTGATATGATTTACTCCTTTCTCATTTCAGAGTTTTTTGCTTCTTTCCTTCCACCAGCTTTTTTTCTGATTGTGGCTTCTTGCTTTTATTTTCCCTGGTGCAGTATTGGCCCATACTCAAAGTAGCAAGGCCAGTAGTAATCTATGAGTTTCTGTCTGTGCCTGCAAGCTTTAATGCTTTCTGTGGCAGTGAACGGGACTATATGATCCATAACAGTTGAAAAATATCCTGATAATAAACTGGCATGTTCCAACTTTAATAGGATAAAAATAAATAATGCACTGCACTAGTAACAGATCTGTAGTCATCCAGGTTTAAAATAACTAGATATAATGTAGTATTGTCCATGGTGCTCATGCTTTACACCTTTTTCAGCATTGACAACAGTGATGCGGTATGGGCTGCCTAATGTGGCAGGGAAAGCATGGTTAGCCCAGACACCCTCTGGCTCTTCTGTGAAACCACTGTTTGCTAAACAGCCACCAACAGTCTGTGAAAAAAAAATAGCATCTTGCTCGATACAAAGGCTCTTTGCCCTGTATGGTTTGGGGCTGCTGTTTTAGAGCTACATTGCTAATTTTTAACCTCAAACATGACAATCACCATGAGGTTGAAAAAGTAGCAACACTTTATCCTGTATAAGTGCAATGCATATATACCCTGCCATACTGTTCAGCTGCTGGAATTACCAACATTTGTTTATTCATTCCTCTTAGTAAAAACAAGGATGTCTGCTGGCTTGGTGCAGCAGCTTCGGAGAAGCTGGTGGGGGAAGGCAAAAAGGAAATCAAGGTATATAGCAGGAACTGTCCATCTGTGTGAGAGCTGCAGTCAGAGGGGTGGTGTGTGACTGACAGGTAAATGAAGCAGCTCCTCCAATGTGATACTTTCCACAGGTTCAGCATTCAGCCTGCAACAGAATTAATTATTCATAAACTGACAGTTATCCCTCTTTCTGCCATACCTCAGCTGAGAATTTCAGATGCATTTGATTCATTTCTGTTCTCAGTTCTCCTGTTGTAAACACGGAGTGAGCCTGAAATCCATGGGTTCATTCCAGGACTAGGCAGACTGCACAAATACATGAGAATGTAGCAAAATTCAATTAAACCATTTACTTTGATTCTGCAAATATAAGACCTTTGAGGGTTTCTTCATCCATGTAGTTTTGTTTTGTTAAACCTTGTGCCTTACCAAAGCAACTTCAAAGAGTCTGCCACCACCACTTGTTGGAGTTACATCAGACTGTATTGGACAGGACATTGACTGCAGCCAGCACCCCTTGGTCCTGCCTTGTAACACCCCATGTAACGACTACCACCGGCTTGCCTGCACACAACAGCTGCAAAACAGTGATGTTTTTACAGAATGAATGAATGTATGGTGTATTTTAGGGCTAGGAAGCTATTGTTAGGATTTCACCTCTGTTTTCCCTGTTAGTTAAATTATCAGGACATTTGTATGGCAGCCTAGTTTATCCTGTATTGCACTGCTGTTTTTCCACACACTAACATGAATGTTGGGCTTCCTATTGCTGGTGGCAGCTTTCTAAGAAAGCACTTAAATCAGCATGGCTTATTGTGAATACAATCACAGTTTCCTCCTGGAGTTCTGAAAAGCTTTTTTCAGGTCATGTACGTTTTGTTTCAATGCTCAGTGGGTCATCTGAGCATTTCTACACTGTGGAAGCGCGTTGTCTGCCTACAGCAGACTTTCACCAATGGAGAGGAAAATACTTCTATATGGAAGAAACTAGAACATGTGGAGAAGACAATGAACTTCTAACTTCCTGGATCATACGAAAACACGTAAAAGAATACATTTATGTATACATGGCTCAGTTATATTTATTTAGAAGACCTTAAGCTTTTTATTAACAGCTTAGATGACAACTTGTATGTTTATATCTGATTCTGAACACTTTAGACAAGATAATTCAATTAAACAATTTTAAAAGCCCTGCTTCTGCATTAGGTATGTAAAAGCCAATGTTAATTCACACATAACATGCAGCTTACCTGGCGAAGTCTTTCTGTTCTTCAAAGGCAGGCTTCTGACAGAAATGCTGAGGTGCAAGCACACCATGCCACTGGTTACTGCAGGCACTGCCAGGCCTGGACACCCTAATGGGTGACACATAGCTGAGCCCTGCCAGCAGCCACCACTGCTCTCCTCAGGGCAGTTGTACAGGGGAGCCTAGCAGTACAGTTGGGCACAGAGCCCTTACTGCTCTGCTGGGGCTCTGCACAGCCCTGGCTTGATCTCCTGCTGCCATACCGAGTTTATAAGCTCTGTACTTCCACATTTTTTTGGTGATCACAGCATCTCTCTTTGGTTGCTGGCTCCTGTTATTCGCCCTTTGGAAGCAGCAGCATTTTTCAGTGCTTTCTGTTTTTCAAGCTGTTATAAACAGCATTTAATTTTTTTTTTTTTTAATAACCAGACCTTAATGCCTCACATCATTCTGTTGTTTCTGTCCAGGAACCCACTTTACATTAGCATGAGATCATACTGAGAACCAGATCCAAAGACCATTAAAGTTCATGAGAATCCTTCAACTGAGCAGTTGGCTGCAAATATTTTACTTCCTCATGAACAGTGAGATATTATATGTATTTATGTACTTTGGAGTTGCAGCTATTTAAGAGCAGATGGATTTAAAAATAAACATCATTCATTTCACAGACCAGATGCATCTCCTTCATCAGAATCTCATTAATTTTTACTAAAAATTCCATAACACAGGAAGCTGCTGCCAAAAGCTATCGGCAAACAAAATACCGCAATGCTCTGAACGGTTTCTCAAGTGATGGCTCTGAGCTTTTTCCAATCTTGAGTGCAGAATGCAAAGAAACTTAAAAGACTTTTAAACGGTTTGTAGTTTTTTCATTTATTGTAGAAAAGTTATTATAATGCAGTTCATTTTTGTACATCTAAATTCCATAAAACAAATCCATAGAAATGAGGATACTATCAGCATGCAGTCTGCATTGTCCTTTTTAAATGATTCTGATCACAAAAATAACACCACTTTTTTTCTTTCTTTGAAAGCCACTAAAAGCAGAGGGAGACCAGAGCATGCAACACTGTACACATTTGCATAGTATATTTTACCCAGCATGCCTTGTAGAATGCTACACATACAGTATCTATAGAAGGAAAACCAGAAAGGGGCAAATCAGCAGAAAACATACATTTGTGAGTATATCTTTAGTTTTGGTTGGTTTTTTTTTGTAAAGTCAGTAACACCTTTACCAGCGTGACTCTGAACTGGCTCGCAGTGAGGCTGGAGGTAACACTGCCAAGCTATCACTGGGAACCAGTTTGGGTGAGAAACGGAGATTTTCTAGGATCTGAGAAGCCCAAGGTCCATAGTTTGCAAATTGAATGACCGTTTTCATCTTTCTTCACCCCTCTATTTCTCATGTGTACATACAGTTTGCATTTTGCTTGATTCTATGCTTTTCCTGTACAATATCACTGACTTTCTCTCTCTGCATGAGAAGAGAAGCTGGTGTGTTTCCAATGCAAATAAAACCTTGGCCACAGACACACACATTCCTTAAACTTACTTTCCTCCCATTTTAAATTCCCAGCAGTATCAGTGGAAGGTTTTGGGTGTACTTCTCCACAGCTCTTGCAGTGTAACGTTCTTCTCTCCCCACCTCCCCATCCCCCCCATACATTAAACCAAGTAGCTCTGTAGCCCCAAGAACGAACTTACTGGGAGTATTTAACTCCTGACCTTGGGTTCTTAGTGCATTTGTGGTGTATTCATCAGTCATATGCCAAAAATCTATACACCAGCCAAAATCAGAAGTTATTAATGCAATTTCAGCATTGAGGAGGAAATTAGCAAGAAATGCAGTGGACTTTCTAATTCAAAAAGTTGGTTTTTTTTTCCTTAATTAATATGGAAGGAGACAGTTACTGAAAAAACAATCACATATGCATAAAATAAACTGCTGACATATCAGGCAGCAAGTTTAACTGATCAAAAATGCAATAAAGCCACTGACGCAGGATCAAAAAGTCTACCTTTTTTTTCAAAAATACACCTCCAAATGCAACAGTGGAATTATTGTAAATTTGTGCTGTTATAAATGTGCTTCTTTTTCCTTGCTCTGTTTGTACATCATTGGCAAAATATATTATTCTGTACTGTACAATAGATTTTCTCACTATATTGATTTCCTACTGCTTATACAGAGTAGAATGCATACCAAAGGGGACTGTGGCGTTAAATTTAATTACAATTTGTTTTTCAGGAGATATTGATAAGGCATCAGATAATCAGTATGTGATATTTGTGGTCAGACCTTGCAAATACCGACTCTCGGAGCAGACAGTTATAAACTGTGTCCAGTTGTAGGTGTCTGTAGGATCTAGTCCAGATAGTAACTCACTGCCAAAAAATCTGAGGGGAAAAGGCAGGCCTCGTAAACCTCACAGAGACCCAGCCAGTGCTACTCCCAGTTTCACCATGTTCAAAGGAATAAAGGAATGACACACTCTTACTAACATTTTTAAATTACATCTACCTTCTCCCAAAATTGTCTCTATGGATTCAGTATTTCTCTTTTTAAATGCATTCTACAAATTTCAATACTAAGTAGCATTTTCAGCTCTTTCTCCAAGTTAGTTCCTTACATATATTTCACCACGTTATTAAAATGTCCTTTTATTTTTCTATGTAAAATAAATTGAATAACAACCTAATAAAGGTTATTCAAATGCTGACTCTTCAAATAGTACATTGCTTTTGTCATTGTTTTAAAGACAGAGAGAACTTAATTTCCCTGGAGTTAAAATTGGCTATATTACCATATCTTGCAGTCCTGTTACTCTTTGTAGAGCTATCTGAAGAAAAGAGAGGCAACTGCAATAAAATACATGGTGGCAGAATCCTATGAATCCAAACTTGTATTAATACCAACTGCAGTAATATAACCCAGTTTTAAAATACACATTTTTAGGAACAAAATCAGATTTGTATAAGTGGTATTTTACAAAACATGCATCTGATTTTTTTAATATGTGGTCTCCAATTACTTGTGCTTTAAAAAAAAACAAAACAAAAAAAAGTCAAGGTTAAGCTTCAGAAGCACTGAACCTGTAAAACAAAATACAGCAGAGGTCACATTTAATATATTCTTAAAGAAAAAAGGACGAATGATAGCCCTAACTTACTCAAATCAGTATGCCATAAAGTAATAGTACTAGCAGTATTATTTTGAGAATGGCAGTGCCAATAGGGAGATGAGATTCTGGGATGTTTCAGAGAAGCCTGTGGCACTGAGTCCAAACTGAATTCAGATTTTCAGTCAAACTGAACTTGGAGTTACAGGCCTATGCACACCCAGAGGAACTACTGTCACCTTATTATTCCTACAGCTCACTTCCTCCTTTCTGCAATTTTCACTCTCTGAAGTATGTATTAAACATTTTAAAAGCAAGGAGCACAAAAGGTTAATATCCACCACCCCCCACCCCCAACTTCAGAAGCAGCTTTCAAACCTGGAGAAAACACAGTAAACCCTCTATTTGCAGCAAACCCAGCACTAACTGTGAGTGCCACCACTGGCAAGGCTGTGAGTCGTGGAGCCACATCCCCTCCCAGGCACATGGAATTTATCTGGGCCCATTGGAGTTAAGACAAAACCATATGGGATCAGAAGCAGGCTGAGGGAACAGCAATTGCTTGACGAACCAATCATGCTTATCAAGTCCAAAGTCAGGGGTGCCACCTATTTTCATGGCAAGATGGTTTGTCAGGATAAAATCTCGGTCTGGGCCGTACTATGCCATGAAGTCTTGAGCAGAGGGACTGACTTTTGTCAGACCAACCTGTGCACAAAATGATAGCCTGATTTGGCCCACTGTTTATAAACTAAAATTGGATACAGAACAGCTTCAGTTACATTCCTTTAAGCCTAATTTCATACTCAGAAAACATAATCAGTTGCACGTTGCACATCCCATGGGATAAATGTTCATCTGTGGAACTAGTAAAAGAACCTGTATGTCTGTTAAATACAACGTGCCAAAGTACTTTAAAGCTTACCAATTAATTGTCTTTATAGTGGCTTCAGGATTTTAAAAACTTTTGTTAATTCATTCACAAACATATGAATGCCCTGACATACAATGTCTTTAAGATACCAAGATTGTTGTTACCACCTTTATTGGGTAAATTGTCATTAGTGCAAAAGCATCCTCATGAAAACTCAGATAACAACTTAAAATGTTTTATCAGTATGTCTAAAATCCTCTGTATAAGCCAGAGCTTATGAACAGAACTCTGATCTTTAATAATATAATAACAAGAAGAAATGGTATGAGGACTGGAAAATTAAGTCTTACTCGTGTTCATTCAGGAATACATGAACTTCACAATTGTATATAGTGCCATTGCAGAAGAAATCACAATACAGCTGGCTAGCACTGCTGAAGTTCTAATACAAATACTATGAGTTAACATGTCCTGATCAACGTTGCAGCTTTTACCGATTACCGCATTTCTTAAAAATAATTTACTTTTTAAAATAGAGTTCCCATAGCTTGTATCTAGAATAAATTAATGATCTATTAGCAAGTTCGGTATATTTGTACTTAAAGATATATCTGTCTTCAAAGAATAAAAACCAGCAAGCAAGGAAACCTGCTGGATCACTGCTGATTTCTTACATTAAAATGGAATGGGCAGTGGGAGAAGAGAGGGTAAACTAATTGCACATAGTAGTAAACTTAAACCCACACAGTAAAGGAATACGGTGTGTTCTTTCAAGACAGTACATGACTTCCCTCACAAGCTTGTTTTGATTAGAACAAACGAATAGTTTTGGCACTTCAGATGCTGCAGGTGATGGAATTTGTGCATATATGTTTTGTAGACCTGTCCCTTCACTAACATGACACGGAAGACTTAAAAACAAGGCTCCAAAAGGCTCTAGAAGTA